ATGTCAATTTGTTTAAGAGAATAAATTGTATTCAAGTATTCTGTAAGAGTCACTTATATTTTAATTTAACATAATTAAAATGTAAACAGGGACTTAAGTAACTTAATTTCCTTACACTACTGCCTTAAAGAGCTAATTCCAAACAATTCTAATCCAAACCTAAAACTGAAACTTCTATTAGGCAGAAGTTGTAAATACCTAAAAGCAACACAACTCATTTTGCAAGAAAAACATAATAATATATATACACTATCCCCAGATGATTTTTCCACAGTCATCCTAATTAGTGAAGTCTGGCCATATGGCTATTCCCTTGGTTAAAACCATGAGAAACATTGGCATTTAGGTATGCAATAATACTTGGAACACTGCCCAGGCTAAAAAACAAAGAATTACTTAAGGCAGATGTTTAACAAGTATTTTACAAAGTACACTTATTTTCACTAAAGAGAGACAAGAAAAATGGTACTGATTTTCCACATAAACTCCCTAGGTGTTTTGCTGAATGTCTTTATAGTAAGACAGATTGTAAAAGATCCTTTATAACCTATTCCTTCATTGTTACTATGTTATACTCTTTATAAATATTAATGTTCGTGGATGAAAAAGAATTCATCTATATCAAGAACACTGTTATCTAAATCTTGAAAGATTGAATGTGTTTATAAAAAACTAATTATTCAATGAAACATTTCCTCAATTAAAATGTACAAAAATTAAATGATGGGTGTTTATTTTAAATTATTTTGACATAAGGATATTAGCACAAGATCAGCTTAAGTTACATTGAACCAGTTAGAATTACCGTTTGGGGAAAGAGTGGCATAAGTATATAAAATTAGGGTTTAATTTGGTTTAAAATTTTGGTTTAATCGGGGTTTAACATTTTATTGAGTTAAACTAAAGAAAATCAACAACATCATTGAAAAAGCTATGACTTGGAATATTGATATATTACTTAGAACCCTGTTTTTAAAAGGATAATTAAGATGATGTACTATTTAGTCAATCTAGCAGTAAAAAGAAGTTAAATAAAATGTATTGAAATTAGCTTGAAGCAATGAAGAAAAAATTAGTACACTTAGCTGGGTAAATAATATGGTCTGCCATGAGCATTTCTTCCTTGTTTTGTTATGATATAGTTGTGTGTGTGTGTGCATACATTTATATCTCAAATTTTATCTTTGCTCTCTTCTCTTTTCCCCTTATGTTGCATTAGATGTACTGACTAGGCCGGGCGCAGTACTCATGCCTATAATCCCAGCACTTTGGGAGGCTGAGATGAGAGAACTGTCTGAGCCCATGGGTTCAAGACCAGCCTGGGCAACTTGGTGAGACCTCATCCCTACAATAAATAAAAAATTATCAGCTGGGCGTGGTAGCGCACGCCTGTAATTCCGGCTACTCGGAAGGCTGAGGCGGAAGGATCGCCGGAGCCCAGCAGGTCGAGGCTGCGGTGGCCGGGAGCGGCCACTGCACTCCAGTCTGGGCGACAGAGTGAGACTCCAACTCAAAAAAAAAAAAAAAAAAAAAAAAAAAAATTAGGTGGGTGTGGTGGCATGTACCTGTAGTTCCAGCTAGTAGGAAGGCTGAGGAGCATGCAACTTGTACACCAGCATGGGTGACAGAGTGAGAGACTCCAACTCAGAAAAAAAAAAGATGTACTGACTTCATATCATAGAATTTAAGTATTGTTAACTTTTTCATCATACTATCATAATCTTTAAGCTATGCGTTATCAATGAGATGAGTAAACATCACCCAAGGACTTCTTCTGGGAAAAGGGTTAACGCATTTTCAGTTGTATGCAGGGTTGCTGCATCATTTTAGGTGGATGTATGACCTTATAATTGTCTTTATTTGGAAATTAAGTATGGTTTAAGGAGATGTGTATGTGTGCCAAGTTGACAAGGAACAGACTTTTGATGGTAAATTTTGTGTGCCATCTTGGCTAGGGCACAATACCACATAGTTGTCCAAACATTATTCTCCTGAAGATTTATTTTGAAGGAATTTTTCAGATAAGATTAGCATTAAACAAGTAGACTTTGATTAAAGCTGATTATCCTCTAATAATATGGGTGGAACTCATGCAATCAGTTGAAGGCCTTAATGGAAAATAGACTAACTGCCCCTTGGAAGAGGGAATTCTGCCAGCAGACAGCCTTCAGACTTGAATTGTAGCTTCTCTGACCTGCCAGACTTATCCTACAGGTTTTGGACTTGCCAATCATGTAAACCAATTTCTTAAAATAAATATCTTTCTCATTGTGTATACATATACATCCTATTTGTTCTGTTTTTCTGGAGAATCCTGATAAATACACAGTCCTTTAGTTAACATCTTAAGCTCTAAATAGATTATGTGGGAACAAATCCTGCCTCTAATATAAACTAGTTGGGCTACCAGGGCGAATTGCCTAACCTCATTGAGCCAATCTCCCCATCTATAAAAAAAGATAATAAATATTAGTCTTCACTTCACAGAATTGTTTGGAGAATTAAATACATTTTATACATAAAAAAGTATTTAGAAAAAACATGCACTGGGCATTGTTCTAAACATTCAACAAATATTAACTTGGATTTCCAAGTTTCTAATATAGATATAATATAGAGTTTTATAGAAAGGGACAACATGAATAAATAAAATTTCTTAGAAAAAATTTGCAAGGTTGTTTATAAATCTACTTTTGTAAGAAATATTCAAGACAAAGGAAAACTGAACCCACAGGTTTTCAAAATTCTGATTTCTTGAACGGTATTACCAATAATTACCATTTGAAAATAGATGAAGAAAATATACCTTGCTTTATCCAATAGCTATTTGCTTAAAATGATACCCAACAATCTAATATCTGAAAAATCAAATCAAATCTTACTCTCAGACATGCTTTACACATGGTTTCTTATTGTTAGTAGTTCTTAACATGTTGCCTCTATTTTTATATTCTATACTTGGCTTCTATATATTTCTTCCATTTCTCATCCTTCTGCTCACTACCCACAGATACCCTTGCCCTATAATTTAATTAATTTTCCCTGTAATTTTACATTATGTGCACTTTTGTTTATTTTGTTTTGTTTTGACCAGAAGAAAGTCTAGCTGAATATTTATATATTTTTTTGGCCTGGAGAAAAACTTGTATGTTGTTGACACAAAAGGTGGAAACTATAAAGGGAAAAAAGTAAAAAAATACCTAATATACGTCCAAAAAAGCTATAAAGAAAAATTAAAAGGCAAATATTGAATTCAGAAAGAACATTTCTTTCATACTGTCAAATGTTGACTAGAAGTAATAATACGTATTATTGTATAATGTTTTATACTTTACATTAAACATTCATATAAATGATCTCATTTTAACTTTATCACAGTCCTGTAAAGAAGGCAGAACTCAGAATTTTTAAATGTTGGCACTAATGACATTTTTGGCCAGATTATTCTGGGCAACTATCTTGTTGAGCAGCATCCCTGGCCTTGACCCACTGAAACTCAACACCCTCTTCCACCACACTCTACAACCAGAAATGTCTCCACATATTGCCAAATGCCCCTGGAGACAAAATCATCACTAGTTGAGAACCACTGACAGAAAGAAAATCTTACCTTTTACAAATTGGGCAGGTGAAACTCAGAATTTAAATGATTGCCCAAATACTCTCCTTCTCTCAATGACCTATAAACTTGACAATTATAGGACACCATTATGAATCCTTTAGATAAAACATTAATAGCCACCTAACGAATGGACTGTAATTTTTGTCAACTGTCTTATACAGACATTTCTGAATTCAAGTACTTCTTAGTTGATTCAGACATTAATTCAGGCTTCTTTCCTCCCACAAAAGAAAAACAAACCATTATAAATTCCAAGTTAGAAAGGAGCATTATGAAAATTTACCTAGACATAAAATTTATTTACACAGTATGTGCATCAGTTTTTTTTCAAATAATTTTCTATCTTAGTTTGTACAAGATTTATGAAAGAAGCTATCACTTCCATTGATTAGGTAAGTAATATGCATCCAACATTTATTATCTGCCTCTATCATATACATACAAGGGGAAGGGCAAAAAACCCGGAATTTATTTATAAAAAATCGTGTTCTTATTCTTACATGTTTGAACTTCAATCACCTACAAATTACTCTCCATTTGATGCAATACATCTGTTGAAATGCCTTTTTTACTGCTCAAAACAGTTTTTAAATTAGTCAATTTTGATGCTCTTTAGTGCTTCTGCCACTTTGTTTCACCTCTTCCACATCTGCAAAACGTTTCCCTTTGAGGATTTTTCATCTGGGAAAATAAAAAATGTCACTCGGAGCGAGACTGGTCGAAAAGGAAGGGTGGAGCATGGGGTCATGCCGGTTTTGGTCAAAAACTGCTGAACACTCAGCGTGGTGTGGGCAGGTCACTTGGTAAATCACTCATTGTGAAATGGGTAAACGCATTGAAAGAATCTTCACCTTCCCCCAAAAAATGTACTGAAGCCGAACACAGACTCTTAACAACAATGCTAGCTGGTATATTGATGTTGATGGGTTCCTAGAACACTTAACTGGTGGGGGAAGCCTGCACTACAAGACGACCACCCTCCAAAAAAATAATTCCGGGTTTTGGGGGGGTACCCCCTCATATAAAATACTGAAACATTTTCTTTTTACAGAAGCTTCTTAGCAGGGAAACTATTCATATATTAAAAGTTAAGTGTAGAGTTGAAGACACTTAGATTATGTGACCAAAAGTATGAGATGATCATTTTTCCCTATGTCTAAAAAAAATACTGGATTCTCATATTCATATTCTAAATACAAAACATTTCATATAGTTGGTCAACCACCATATCTAAGTAGTGTTTCACCTCTTTTCAAACTATTTCCCAACAAAAGAAGGAAAAATGGAATTTTTCATGCAATACATTGCCATCTGCATGCAGCTGATAAGATGAAAAGGGAATATTTGAATGTCAGAAGACCAGAATTACAAACCATACCTTCCATGACATACACCAGTGACCCCACATCTCCTTCTTTGATGATGCAACTGTCTTTGCCATATTCCACCGGGTACATACAATCCACAATCTCCTGGATCTGCGACAGCTCCAAGTTCTTCATGAAGTCATTGTCAAGGATGGCTTCCTTTATAAGATCCTTGGACCTATGACAAGAGAGGGAATATTTAGAGGCACATCTGACAAGCTTTTTCATAGTTTGTGAGGTTTAGTAGAGCTGAACAGTGCTCTGGCACACTACAAATGCATTTTCTTGTTAGAAATCCAATAATTTTCTGAAAGACCTAACAAAAATGTAGTTCCATGGCAGAAAAAAAAAGCACTAAGAAGTTGTTTATTTTATTAAGTATTGATCATTTAGTGAATAAGTGACCAACCAACAAAATCATACAAGTTAGTTTTGTTTTAGATTTTTTTAGCCACAAAGATATGGAAAAAACTAATAAACAAAAATTAAAGTTTATAATTTAGTTTAAGAATAGATATTTAAAATTACAAAACAATTCCAGAACAAACACTATTATTACTAGGGTTATGTATTATAGAAGAACATTAGGCATGTGTTGTATAATTACATTAAAAACACAATGTTTACTTATTTTTTGGATGCCTCTTCCACTAGACTTTATGCTCCACATAGATAGGGAGGATTTTAAATTTGTTCTCTTCTGTACACCCTAGTATCTACTAGGATACCACTCATGGTATGAGTACTCAAATAACATTTTAGATAAAAATAGGTAAGAGCTGGATTCCTAATAAGCTGTTTGAAACAACTAAGAAATCTGACAGCTTTTATACACATCTCATACTTCTTTATAGAATATTTCCTTCTTTAAACAGTTTATAGTGAAGCAACAAAGCAGATAAAACTCTATTGAACAAGATATTTGAAATGATTTAGATATGGGATTAAATACAGGATTTAGTAGGAAACACATTTATAAACTATATAATTGAGATTCTGCAAAACAGGAAAGTTTTGCAGAACTTAAAACATTGTGATAAGAAGTTCCAAATGAGTTTTTAAGGACACTAAGAAATATTTCATCAGGAGGAGGACAATTAGAGCACCATCAGAGAAGTCAGAAACCAGATAAGATAAAAGCAAAGATCTTAGAAACATAGAGCAAAGACAATATATTTATAATTTTATTTTAAAATTCTTAATTAAACACAAGCTAGGTTTTGTCCACATTAACCTAGCAAGTGACTTCTAAGAAAATGATCTGTAGTACTGAATGCCACTAAAGCATTAGCGCTCCCTCCCTATTTCTAGATGGCTTTTCATCTAGACCTCAGTCTAGCTGGTCTATCCTTCACACATTGTGTTTTGTAATGATTTGATTTTAAGTAATAAAAAAATGTATAAAATAATTGGAAATTCATCACCATGAAGAATATTCCTAGAATGGGGTGTCATGCTACAACTAAAAATATGTTCATGAAGAGTGTTAATGGCATGGGGGAAATTACCATACTATTTTTAAGTTAAAAAAGGAGGATACATAGTCATTTTTTAGGGTAAGAATGTAGGCGTGGAATAAAATGTAAAAAAAAAAAATTTGTCTTTTCAAAGACATATATATTTGGGTCCCAATTCTAGCTCTGTCACGTACAAACCTTTGAGTGGGTTGTCTTACATTTTTCATTTCATCATCTATAATATGGTATTTAAAAGAACACCAACCTAACAGGTTTATATATAAATGTTAGAGAATATAATATTACTTTCAGTAAATGGTGGGAGATAAAGGTGGTGGTAGCATTAATTGCAATATTATTCACACAACTCTATATAATTATCATTACCTCTCCTGACCTCAAGAATACCTTCATGGCACCTTCATATTGACTCTTGAGATCTATTATTTTAAGATTATTTTTCCAAATTCTAGGTTTATTTGATCTTCAGGAAATTAATTTTAATCAAATTGCATTACATCTTCTCTTTCCCCAAAACTTCTTTATTTTATTTGTGTCAGAAAGTAAGACCATCTAATAGGTTCATAGTTTCTAACATCATAAAGATTCAATGTTATCAACCAAGAACCTCAACTTTAGCTGCAGATGGTATCTTATCCCTTGGGAAATATGAATAGTTCTCCATGAAATATCTAAGTCCCAGAAATGAAAAATGTTTAAAAATAAAGTCCTCGTCCAAGAAAATAATTAGCTCCATCCAAAGATGATTGAAGAAAGTCACTTTCTTCCCTCTCATAAACAGGAGTATTAACCTGTTTGATGAAGACATCAGAAAAGATGAAACAATGGGTTGTAACACAATTCTTTAGAATTATTCAAATTTTCCAAGTGTTTATCATAGAATGCAGTGGGAGGGGGTGTGGGTGAGAAGAACAGGATTCCAAGATGTTTTTGTTTCTCAAATTTTATTTTAGATAGAGGACATGTAATTTCAGGTCCCTAAATAAACAAATTAGTGGCTTCTGTATATGCTATTATGACACTAAAACAAACTGTTCAATAAAGAAAGTATGTCTTATTTATACTTTCATACAGATATTGCCAAATAACAATTTTATCTCTGAATTGACACAAATAATTTGTTTCTGCTTTCACAGCAAGATAGAAATCTTGCACCTCTGTATAGTGCAACTGAAGGATGTTCTTGTCAGTGAGTAATACTCAAAGTCCTGCCTTTTCATGTAATTTTCCCTTAAGTCCTTTCCCATTGAGGGCTCAGAACCATAGGCCAATTCTCATTAGTCTTTACTTGTTCCAACATTATACCGCAATTAATCAGGGCCTCCAGTAAACTACTCTTTGAATCCTCTTCTTTTCCTGAAGAAATAGTCTGAGACACTCACTTTTACTAAGATATGATACTGCATATATGATCAGTTAGTTAAGCTGTGTTATCAGATTAGGAACTGGGAAAAGCTTAGATTACAAGTACCAGATATTACAACTACCAGGTGGCTTTCTGTCCTAACTCAGAGTATATGCCATATTTTAACAATATTTTAAAAGAATTCAACAGCCTGACCTGGAAGGCATAAGAAGCAAAAACAAAGATAATTATTTTTTCATCCTTACTATCTGTCCCCATGTACAAATAATATATTTTTTAAAAATATTTTTTTTTCATGCCTCAAATATGTAGCCCTTAAAATCCAAACATCCACAAAGGTAACTTTATATTGATATGCTGGTGTACTGGTTATCTGGAAGAGGTGGAGAAAAGCAGGGAAGCCCTGGTTTGCAGCACTTGCCAATTTTCATCGTGTAAGCTCCCACTAAGGCCAATTTCAAACTTTCATGTGAAGTCAACCTACATGCAAAATTCCTGAAAATTCAACAATATCCCAAATAATTTAATGCCAGGATTAACAATAGTTCTTCCAAACTTTCTATTTCAGACACATACATTTGAAAGTCCACTCCTCCATTTATTTATTTCAGAGAAAATTCCTAAATAGGCACAAAAAAATTTGATAGAAATTGTTTTACTACACAATCTTAGGTTTAAATGGACGAGTCTAGAGTGAGTATGGGAAAGTATATACCTACGTTTCAGACAAGGGAGCCAGCATTATTCACTGCTAATAAACAGACCCTCAATAGTTTTCTCAGCCTAATAAAAGGATACTCTGCATTGTGGTTATTATATAGTAGGTTACAATGTCTAAGAGGCAGTAGCATTATTTCGAGGAGTGGGGAAGGCTAGTTCAGTACATGTGGTCAGGAAGGTCTCTCTGAGCTTAAAACTTCAGGACAATGGGAACCAATAGCATGTCTTCTGCATTGCAAAGATCATGAGGAAAAGCATTCAAAGAAGAGGAAAAAACAAGGACAAAAGTCCAGAGGTTGGAATGAGCTTGATCTGATCAAGGATCAGAGAAGAGGTCTCTGTGCCTCTTACAGTGAGGAAGAAGGAATGCGATCACATGAGCATGAGATCACAGAGGTAGGCAGGGAACAAGTCTCATAGGGCCTTGAAGGCTGTGATAGTGTTTTTATTGGAATCCAGTGAAGAATTACAAAAAGTAATATTTACAGATAAGACATCAGAAATAAAGAATACACAATGCAAATTTACTTTAAAATGTTATTGAGTTCATGGAGGTTTTTTGCCATGTATTTCATCAAATAATAGATACTAAAAGCAAAATTTATTATCATGTTAATAAACCTTACACTTTTTAGGACTTTGAATCCTAAAAAGGATTACTTACTCTCAGGCAACTCTTACATATCAGAAGTGAATGAGGTCTTATCTCAATTTCAAGAACTACCTCCAGAAGCCTAAAGTCTGTCCACTCTTCACTTACAAACTCTCTTTAAATCAATTTCCTCCATAGTCATATAGCAGGCAATATAAATATGCTAAACACAACCTTGCCCAGAAATGTTCCAGGTACTTCACAAAAAAATTTATAAAGATATTAAGTTATTGTTAAGAATAGAAATCGGCTAAAGCAATTTAAAAATGTAGCACAAAACTTCTATAATCAACTTTTTGGCTAAAAAAAAATAACTCACTAAATCTCTTTATCTCTCAATGGTTGGACTCAAATGTCAGGAGAAGAAATAAGTGAAGTATCCCAGTCACTCTGACCTACAGGATAGTCTGTGGAATTGGGAATTCAGTCGTCGAAATCCCCACTGATAGTTCATAGCTCTTTCACTCAGATACAGTCCTTGCAGGGCCTCTTAAAAGTTTCTAATTCTTAGAGTTAACTGCAGCAGGAAAACTATCTATCTGCTGTGAAATATTTGATTAATCACCTATAAGCAAGAAAAACTCACAGTAGTCTTTCTCCTGCCACAACTGTTAAGATTCTGCCCAGTTGATCCTATTTCTTGCCTAACAGTTTTCCTGAACAAACTCCATAGGTATAAGCTGGCTAGAGCTAAGAAATATCAACCAGTCCACATGTCTTAAAGATAAAGTTTAATCCTACAAAGTTATTGGCCAATTTAGGTATTTTCTCAAAACTGCAAACCAGTTTTCAATAAGCTTCAGACTATATTTTCACATCCGTCAACTCTGCTATAGCTATCCCTGTCTTACAACAAAAACAACCATGAAGAAATCAAAACTATTTGCAGCATTCATACCTATAATTAGCATTTGATACTAAACATAGGAAACACTGAGCCAAAATATATGATAGCAACATGA